CAACAATGGACAGCATTAAGGAACTAATAGAGAAAAATCAACACACCAAGCAGATGATATATTCTATTGCATATAGTAAAGGTATTGACGTTGCTACTTATATAGAATTTCGTAAAACACATGATTTAAGTTTGTTTTTAAATCCTGATGAATTAAAACAAGCAATTAGAAACATTGTAATAAGTGGTAATCACAACTTATTTTTCAACAAAAAATATAATCTAGTATATGGCAAGTTTTTGAAGGAATTCATCAATGAGAATAAGACACACAAAATCAATATTTTATATTATAAACAACCTTCATTTATTCATAAGGTTGAATATACAAATATTATTAATGAACTTTTACAAACAAATATAGATGAACATGACGAAGCATTAGATAAACTAATTAAAAAGTTAATAGCAAATGTAAATTTTGGATTATTAGAAAAAGGAGGTGCTACAGCACATCAAAGTATTTTATTTAAAAGTATTGATGAAGCAGTCCATTATCAAACAGAATACGGAGGTAAAATTAATAAATTATCGCATATTGTAAGCGAATGTCCTGAAATGATAACCGAATATGACGACGAAGGAGGCGCAACTACAACATATTATGGATTTGATGAGGATGAATGGGATGTAAAGGCATCATATTATATATTGAATTTGAAGGATAAGGCAGTATTAAGAAACGGATATCGATATATTAAAGAATTACTTTTACAACATCACAATTTTAAAATGAACCAAGACTTTAAGACATTAATAACTAATAATATTAATGTATATAGTGTAAAAACAGATGCTTTTGTAATTGATACATGCAATGAAGAAAAAACAAAGCAATTATTAGAATTTCATGATGATATAGGAGGTTGGAAAGTTTCAAAGCAGAGAGATGAAATTAATTTACCTACGGTAAAATTTAACGTTGTAAATAATGAATTAATAAAAATACCAGTTTATGAAAGTAAAACTATTGATATTAAAGATGAATACGACACTGATAACATTATAGAGATTGTTAAACAGAATAATCCTATTATGATCAGAGGTGAACTACCGGGCACAGGAAAATCATATATATGTCAAAAAATGGTTGATAAAAATTATAAGGTAATTTTTATTTGTCCTACTAATAAACTATTACAGGCATTTGAAGGAGAAGCAATGACGATAAATAAATTCTTTGGTATTAATTATGGAGATGCTAAATTAGAACCATTTGATTTTACAGAATTTGATGTAATAGTATTTGATGAAATCTATTTTAGTAATTTAAATATATACTGGAGAATAAAACAATTTGTAGAACAGAATAAGCACAACAAAATAGGAGACACCAAGCAATTAAAACCAGTGCAAGAAATAACAAATACTCAAGACTATGAATTATACACTGACAATATTATAGATAATATTTTTACACATAATATAATATTGAAAGAATGTAAGAGACTTAACACACAGGACGATAAGGATAAACTCAAGAATATAAAATATGATATTTTTATTAATAAATTACCAATTAAAACTATTATTGAAAAATATTTTGAATACACCACAGACATAAGTAGTTCCAAAAACAACATAGCATTTTTGAATACAACTTGTAAAAATGTATCAAATGAAATTAGAAAATTAGAAAATAGAAAAGATGAATATGAAGTAGGATAATTTTTAATTTGTAGAGATTATACTAAAACTAAAACATCAGTTTTTAATGTAAATTTCAAATATAAAATAGTTCATATTGGAAGTGATGGAATATTTACATTAAAAAATGTAAAAACCGAAATTTTACAATCCGTAGAAGTTGCTAAAATAAGAAGCAATTTTATATTTTCTTCTTGCTCTACATGTCATTCTACTCAAGGTAGTAGCATTGATGACACCATAACAATTTTTGATTATAATCATTTTTTGGTAAAGAATTATCCAGAATGGATTTTTACAGCGGTAACACGTGCTCGTGATTTAAACAAAGTCAAATTTTATAAATATACAAAGGATGTTGATGATGTATTTAATCAAAAATGTATTATGAGTTATTTTGAAAGGAAAATTTTGAATTATAAGGAACAAGACAGGAAAGCAAAAAGAAGCATACCTAGAGAAGGATATGTAAATACTCAATGGTTTCTAGATAATATAAATAATCAATGTAATTACTGCGGATGTGGTTTTACTATTGATATGAAAAATGGTAATATCATTACAAATCTAACAGCACAACGAAAAGATAATGAATTAACTCATACAATAGAAAATATCATCCCATTTTGTAAATTATGTAGTTGTAGTTGTAAATGATTATAATTTTTAATTTAATTATGATAATATAATTTTAATTTTAATTTATTAATTTAATTTTAATTTAAAATTAAAATTCTTGTAAAAAGTATTTAAAGAAATATTACCTATATATATTATATAGCGAGATGATGAAAACCAAAATCAATAGTTATATCAATAAAAAATGCTATGATTGTTGCCACTTCAAAAAGGAAAATATAGAATTGTATAAACTGAATTTACATAACGGAATAGTGAATAATATTATTGATTATGCATTGGGCGAAGAAGATGTATGTAGAACTTGTAGAAGATGGCGACGATATCAAAATATAATAGAAAATATTTTGGAGATTAAAAAAATAGATAAAAGAAACGTAGAAGATGAAATTTTAATATTCTTAACCGTGTATGGAAGACCACCTTATAGTTATGTTAGAATATTTCTAAAAATCAGTAAGAAAAATATAAAATGATTGAAAGTATATTATGGATGTTGACTTATCATAGTAGGGAAGGTTTTGATGTAAAAGAAGACATTAAAACATATATCGAAAGTAAAAAGTTTAATATTAAAAATACAGTGAGAGATATTAATATTATTTTAAAAATAATGCATGAAAGACGTACGATATATATACAACTTAGTAGTCATCAATTAAATTATTATCCTGAACTTAAATTATGAAATTTTATCTACATAACCTAATTTAATTTTAATTTATTAATTTAATTTTAATTTAAAATTAAAATTCTTGTAAAAGTATTTAAAGAAATATTTTATAATACTATTATATAGTGTGATGAGTGATACAGTCCATGATGCTAAAAATATATTGAAAAAAGTTTATGAGTTATAAATGTGAAGACTGCGAAATGCTAAAATTACCAATTGAACAGGGTTTTACAAATGGCGTTTGTAATTATATTTGTCAATATATGATATGCAATAATTGTAATAGAATTATAAACAAAATTGATGATATGAATAACAAAGATATTGATATTAGAAATAATGAAACTATTGATGATGATTTAGAAATATTTGTGTTTATTGAAATGAATAATTTCTTAACTATAGAAGGGTTTGATAATTTATTATATGAGGGCGATGATGAAGGAAACGCTAATGACTTTATTTTTAAGTATTATAGCATGGTAAAAAGATTATACAATATGTCTTCTAGCATTAAACGTTTAAAATATGAAACATTGAATGATAATGACCTTGATTTTTTACATCAGGTTTTAAATGATCGGTATAAAACTCACGAACTTAGATATACAATAACACGTGCAATTGGAATAATGGGAATGTTTAGAAAACAAATAAGAAGTAATATTTATAATGAAACAACGTGTGATAAAATAATAGAAAGAATCAACAAAGAATGGTGCCCGTAAAAACCGAATGAACCAGACCTTGCCCATAATATGTCTACAAAATTTGTGATAAAATTTATTGTATAATAATTTATCATAATTTTTGGAATAATATTTTTTGAAAATTTATTTTTTTATTTTTTTTTGTAATTTTTGTTTTAAAATTTTGTAAAATTTATTTTTTAAAATTTATTTTTTAAAATTTCTTTTTTAAAATTTATTTTTTAAAATTTCTTTTTTAAAATTTATTTTTTAAAATTCATTTTTTAAAATTTATTTTTTAAAATTTCTTTTTTAAAATTTGTTTTTAAAAAATATATTTTAAAATATGGATGAACTTACTAGGACATTACCTGCTTTAAAATGTTGATTTTTGAAAATGTGCTTTTTGAGGTGCTGTTTTAAAATGTTGCTAAAAGTGTGGGGAGGACCCTAGGTTTTTTTATAGAAAAAAGATGGGCAAGGTCTGGTCTAACTCCCACGCCTGCCACACAAAACGCACTTGTTAATTCGATCCGCCGCTGGCCCGATAGTATCTTAAACTTTTGTCTGACTGAAGTAGGTTCGGCGTGTTTTGACCAAGCCAAAGAACACACCTCTGCCCACAACACACATCTGGTTTTCCCAGCAGGCACCGGCAGGCGGGCGGCCTGGTCCAAGCCAGGCTGGCGCATTTCTGGACGAGGGGGGTGATTACCCCGTTTTTTTTGGTTGGAACCAACCCAAAGGAACACCCACCATTTTGGGGTCCCCCTAAAAAAGAGACACCCAAATGCCAAATGCGGAAGCCCCAAGCTGGGTGGTTTCTTTCCCTGCAGCTTCCCGTTTAAACCACATACTCATATGCGCATGTTCAATCGGAACTGGTCCTCCAATGGCAAGGGGGGTTCTTTCGGAGAGTTTATGTCCATAAGACCACCTCAGAGGCTTGGAACCAGCTGCTTGGTTCGATTTGGGAGCCAGCTGCCAACTGCCGATTGAAGTTGGCAAGGACTCGATCAAAGGGGTGGTTTCTCGGTTCAGGCAGGCCTGTTCTTGTTTTGAGGGTGTTCAGGTTGGTTTAAAGGGAGATCAGCAGACCATTTTGAGAGCCAACTCACTCTAACTCTAGCTGCTCCCATGTGCCTCTATTTTGACACATACCCATGAGAAAGCTTGTCGTGCTTGAACACGCACTCGCATTGACTGGACAACATGTAAACTTTGACACAGCTCGCGGCCGGCCTTATGACCCGATTCATGCCACGCCACTGTTGGCGGTCCGGACTAGTTTTCCATTGCCAATTATGCGCAGGACTTCTTTGATGCTGCATGTGCCAATTCATGAAGTGGATGGCGAGACTCAAGCCATCTGGGGATGAGCAAAGATGGATCAACGCGGCCAAGAGAGCAAGGCCAAACATGAATCCTGCCCATGTCCCACGTACCCTTGAATAATAGCCTCACAGTGCCAACCGAAAAAATGGACCAACCCCCTTTCAACGAGACAGAAATTGCTTTTGCTAGGTCTTGGGTGTTGTTTATGATGCTCAGTTGCCCAAAGTCAATCGACGTTTTAACTTGCTGGTTTTCCGATTTGGTTTTATTCATGGCCCCAAAAGGTTAGCATTTTGTTTCTGGGTTCTTTGGGCAAGTGAGGATGACACGACAAGAGTCGAGACTATTTGTTGTAGCCAAAAAGCCAACTCTGGCCGCGACAACAGCTGTTGCCGGAAGTGCCTCTGTGTCTTGGGCTTTGAGCATTCCGTGCAGGACGTGATCGCCAGCTTGCAAGCTCGGCTTTCGCACGTGGAGAAGCTGAACCAACATCAGGCCAGATGTGCCGCGCGTTTGTGCCGCCGCGTCTCAGTTAGAGTGAGGCCAAGACGCTCTCAGCAGCAGGGCTTGAGCGAGAGATTTGTTTTCACTGTGGCGATGTACAAAAGGCTGACTGCCTCGTGATCCAATCCCCAAATCAAAACCTCAGTTGTCCAAAACCGGCGCCTTTTTGCCGTTTTGGTCCTTATTTCGTCATGGCTCCAGGTTTTACCTTTTGGTAGGGCGCTAAGGGGCAAATGAGAAACTGTCCCAACTTCAATGTGAAAAAAAGAGAGGAACCTCCGTCCTGTCCCTTCCCCTCGAACAATCACTCAGCATGCCGCTTGTGTGTGCCCTCTGTGGCGCCCGTGGGCGCCAACCAAAAGACGAGTGCTGTGCCAAGAGGCGGTTGACTGGACCGCGCAAGCGGCATTGACTCTGCCTGCTAGCTGGACTGACTGATTGCATCCAAAGACTTTGAGTTTGGGATGGACATCGATTCCGGGGACCGTGCCTTCCCATTTTTTAAACAATCATAGTACAACAAGCAAAAGCGTTTGGCGAGGTGGAGGGTTGACTTCACTGTCTCTGCAACGCATACAATTCCCCAAAAACATTGATGGATATTCTAATCATTTTAGATTATAGTGATGTGGTTTGCATTTTTGACCTGTCCTGCTATGATCACACTGGTTACTCACCATTCTGATTATTCTTATGGAGTTCCGAACTAAACTACTCAAGCCTTGCAATGAGACCACCTACAATCTAAAGTGCGCTTGCTGCCCTGTTTTCCGGGATTCCGAAAAACCTTGCAACTGGAAACAGGGTGGCAACTTGTTTATGTTACAATATTGCAATCAACAAGAGCCGCCAGAACCCTGAGTTTCTGTTTGTTCAACAATTCTCAATTTTGCAGCTCCACGTCATCGATTGACATGGGTGTGTCTCAACATAAAATGGATGGTGCCTTTTAAAGACAAGAAAGCGGTACCCTTTAAACAGACACACACACACACACACACAAACACACAGGCACACAAACACACACACACACACACACACACACACGCACTTGTTTGAGGCAACATAGGACAACTCCCAAAGTCCCGTTTAAACACAGACAATAAAAAGGTGCTCTTGAAGCAGACACACACACACACACACAGACAGAGACACCGGCACAAACTTCAGCGTGCCAGGCAGCGCGCCTCGCGAACCTCACGCAGGAGGCAGGTGTCGTTGGTGTGTTGCGCTTGCTTTTGGATGCCCCTTTTTTTGGTGGAGTCGAAGGGGAATTTCAGAGGAAACCAAGGACAGGTGTTTTTGATATGGCTGTGGTTGTCAAAACCAATGGTACCATTTTGGGGTAGGTGCACCACCCATTTTAGTCGGGATTTTAGTGGGGATTTGGATGTTCACTGAGGGGGGTTCTGGCTTTTGACCCATGGCCATATGTAAAAGTATATCAGAAGCTGTTAAATTCTATGCCACTTTCGGTGGAGGTTGTTGGGTGGGGAAATTTGGGGGAATTTCGGCTCCCCGCCAAACGCAATCGCACAGTTCGAGGCATCTACAACTTGCCGGTGCGATAGGCATGGAATGAGAAATGGAATGACCTTTATAAACCATCCAATCGGTGGTTTCCTTTAAGCTTCCCCAGAATTAGCTCCTTTTTTTGTGCTTTATTTGGGTCCCCTTTCTTTTCTGGGTCCTAATTCCAGCCGAGTAAGGGAAGAATCCTTTAGAAACCATCCTTTGTGGTTTCCTTTAAGGGAATCCCAAACCGGTTCATTCCAACTCATTCCCCACCGATTTCGCACCAGCCTCTGACCACCTCAGTCGGCGGAGCGTTGGCGTCGCGGAGCGCGGGGCGAGGTGGAGGCGCTGCGGGCGGAGAATGCCATGCTCCGGGCGGAGGAGGCCGGAGGCCGTCAGCCTATCCGATGATAGCCGCTGCGCCTTATGATACTACTACTACTACTACTACTACTACTACTACTACTACTACTACTACTACTACTACTACTACTACTACTACTACTACTACTACTACTACTACTACACAATACTACTGATGATGATGATGATGATGATGATGATGATGATGATGATGATGATGATGATGATGATGATGAACCAACGATAATGCTAGCAAAGATGATATTGTATACTCGTCAGCATAAGACTGACAAGCATAATGCCACTGGTTGTGTAAAACATGCTAGGTGCCGCTATGGGTGGCCATGAATCCTTCCAGGATTTTAGACAGTTCTCATACTGAAGGGCATGACTCTGGCTATGAGATGTCTTTAACCATGGCTCAGGCTCGATGGCGCGGCGGAAGTCGAGTGAAGTTTTGGCGCAGCGCGCAATCGCTTTTTGGAAAGACATATTCAGCCGCGCAAAGCGAGACGAGTTGTTTGGCCTTTCGTTCGTTTTGTTTTTTGGCCAAACATACACCAGCAACAAGCCATTTTTTGTCATGGCAGCCTTCAGCCAGGCCACCTGGAACAAGGACTTGTGCCAGCTGACTTGCACTAAAGTGTCTCCATGCTGTTTTGGTATGTTTCGGTAACGTGTACGATAATTACTTGAACGCGTCAAAGGATTTGCGCCCTGTCTTTGCAGGGTTGGTTTTCTGTTACCAACATTTGCATATACTATTCTGCAATGACTTCCCTCAACAACCCATGTATGTTGGTGACGCTGAACGGATGCTTATGAGTGTGATTGATTTCGGAATGGCTGCCAGGTGACGACATATGATGGGAGGACAAAAGCTGTTCCACTCCCAATCCAACCAAATATCCCTAACGGGTCGTTGTGGCCTACATAGCACAATCGTGTCACCTTCTTTCCCTGCGTGCTTGAGTAAGAGTACCCAGGAGTAGCAGATTCACCCGGGCAAAGTGGATGCATGCCCCCTGTTCAAGGGTTCAATGGTACGGGCCTCATAGAAGTGTAGGTTTCCTCCTGGTGCCAAGCTCTCGCAAAAAGGTGGCAAAAGGGCCACCCTGGTTCATGAGGACATTTCACAGGCTTTTGGTTTGCTTCCAGTAGCTGCGAGGATGACATGGAGGACGTCGAGGACGAAGTGCGGCTGCTGCGAATTGAGCGGGACGAGTACAAGGAGCAGTTTCAGGCAATGACGAAGTTCTTGCAGGACTATGGCGCCTTGGCAGAATCTTTTTGGCCACACTCAGCCATGAAGCGAACATAGCGGGCAAGATCTCATAGGCTTTTTGGCCGGCTCTCCGCTGCAAGATCCTTTCGACAAGGGCAGTTGACGCCTTCCATTGTGCAGGGTGGACCTTGCATAAGAGGTGAAAGCGGAGTCCATAGGTGTACTTTTGGTTGAATTGGTTAAAAAATAGAGGGCCCTGGTTTACCTGGTGGTTCAACTACCAGGGCCATCTATTTGCCCAAAAAGGACACCTATGGCGCAGCCATACAGTGAGCACGGTAGTTCCTTTTGGACTAGAGAGCGTATGTCAAACATATGAGGAGGGGCGACGGCCCCCCTTGGTACCCTTTTTCTGGGCTTTTTCAAGGGCAATCCTTCGAAACTCGGCTGGGATCCACTTGGATGTGGCTCAAAATTCAAGAGCTAGGGGTACGCAGGTTTTAGTCTCTGGTTCCATTACCAAGGTGCCATTTTGGAGCATTTATTTGAGCCACAGGCACTTTGCCTTTAAGCAACATGTCTTCCAGTTTTTGGGGGTCGAGAAGCCGGCGAGGCGAAACCCAAAACCGGAAAGCGCCATCGCAGGCCTCACCTGGGTGGGCGAGGAGGAAGGCGAGAAGGACGACACCGTGGCGGCGAAGCTGAGTCGGCCCGGCTCCAGCCAAGGAGTAGACACTGAGGCGGGGAGAAGTTGAGAAGGGTGATGTGCAAAGCCAAGATTCACATGGGTGTGGGTCAAAACCAATGGTACTAGTCTATTTTAATGGGATTGGGATGTTCACTGGGGGTACGATTTGGATTTTGACCCATGGCCACATTGGTGTGTCCGTTTTAGGGGTTGTCCCCCAAAGCTGCCCCGAAACACATTTTGTGGTTGTCCGTTTAAAGGGAAACCACAACAGGGGTACCACGGGGTACCCTCAAACAAGAAGACCAAGGTTGGACATTGGACGTCAACAAGAAGTATGAAACAAGCACACACAGGCAGATGGCAGCCAAAGAAACAAACAAGCAGAGAATCGTTGGGGGTGCTTCCCGTGTTTTGGGCTATGGTGGGTTTAAGATGGTTCATGGCTTTGGTAGGACGGGTTTGGTGGGTGCCGCTGGTTTTGCTGCTTGGTGGTTCTCCTGTCCATTTAAAGCTGAAAAGGCTTGCTGGTGCGATAGGCAGGGCAATGAACTTGGGGATCCTCAAAGGAAATCACCATTTGGATGGTGCATTTGGATCATTCCGTTTCCCATTCCCTACTTATCGCACCAAGAAGGCTAGCAACAAACAAGATTCACCATGTCCCAAATCACTACTCACCAACGATTCCTGCTTGCTTGTTTCTTTGATTGGCTGCCATCTGCCTTTTTGCGCTTGTTTGTTTATTTCTGGTTGACGTCCAATGTGGGTCTTCTTTTTTTAAAGGGGGGTTAAATGGAAAATCGGCTCAGGTCATGGCCACGCGGGTGGCCGAGCTCAACGCCTTGGTGCGGCAAGAGGGCGCCCGCATCGTGGCCACCAGGGGCCCTGGGGGCGGACGACAGGCCGGACGGTGTTGCGTGCGCCGAGCGCCGGGGGGGGGGGGAGGGGGGGCGGAGCTGGGGGGCTAAGCCCTTTTGTGGCGGGGGGGGGGGGGGGTTTGGGAGTTGGGGGTTCGCGGGGCATGTTTTGAGCACTAAAAAGGTACACGAAACAAGCGGGGACCCATGATGAACAATCCCTTGGTTGATTTTGATTGGGGGGAACACCCAGTTAAGTGGGGATCCGGATCACTTTTCCGGGAAATACCCTCACAATCATCATTTGCATTATGGATTGCTTCGACTAGTTAGGCTTGCCTGTTGACCGTGTGTTGTTGAAATCCTGTTTGGCGAATCAAAAGCACGCCCTGAGAAGTGTAGAACCCATTTGGGAGTTGTCGTTTCTTCCTAGAGAACCGGGTTCTAGTGGTGGTTGACCTGCCCTGTTCTGCCCCCCTCCACGTTTTGGAGCAATGCTTTGTCCAGGGCAGATAGAACAGTTCCTCGTTCTGAGACTTGGGTGGTAGATTTTTCCCTTCAATTGTCACAAAACCCAACAGTCAGTTTGAAACTGCTGCTTCCATTGGACTGGTCTCCTTCTCCTGCCATTCTCAGTCAGACAGCCAAGCCAAGGCTAGGTTAAGGGACCTCTCCGAACGTGCCTACACGAAGCTGAAAAATGGGGGACATCGGCCATCGGCGGCTTCCGGAAGCCGGTGCTGAGAGGTCCCTGTGTTTTTTTTTGTTGCATTCGGGCAGCTCAAAAGCCATTTGGACCAAAAAGTACTTTCAGCCTTTGGATGCCGAAAATGCTGGAGGGAGAGGTCCCTAGTGTTCAGCCTTTAGCAGAAAAGCGCTGTCCATGAAACGCGTAAAGAAAGCTTTCAGCGCTTGGCCGCAGCATGTAGCGTTTCCCAATCTTCAGGCTTGACCTGAACATGTGCAAGCCCATGTTCGAAACATCCGTTGCTGATTTCATGTGGCAATGCATCAAGTAGAACATATCACAAAATGGCAACGCTGGTTTGTACAGTGTTTTGGCATGCAAAGCACCTGTCCAATTGTCCAGCAACAATGGCTGCAGACCAGTACATACATACATATAATATACAGGTGTGATACTCGTAGAAGTTGAGGCGCGGCTGGTGGCGGATGATACCACACCTTTGCCTTTGAGCTTCTTCAAGGACAGGGCGAGCCTCTTTTTTTTTTGTTTCGCAAGGGACCCATGCCCTTCCCCCCCCACCCCATAGCCCCCCCATGACATGCTATTCGCATATGTTCCATTGTGCACTAAGGATGTCCTTGTTCCCATGGCCACTGGGCAAGCGTAACGTCTTGCGCTGCTTTAGACACGTTAGACATGTTTATTTCCTGCTCGCTGGTTTGACCACATCATGCAGCGTGTTGTTCTCGACCTTGATGTGAGCATCCTTTGAGGGCATCATAGGCATGGCCACGGCGGCTTTGACATGCCTGAAACAAAATATTTATCAGGCTGCGGGCGCATTGCGATGTGACAAGAATATCGCCACGGCAAACTCCAGGCTTTTAACGGAAGTCTGAGAGGGTTTGGCCAAACACTCGTTCACACATGCTGAAAGAGTCGTTCCAACAAGGATTTCCAAAACTCGAAGGTTTGATTCCCCATTCTCTTAACCCATCGTTCTCTTGGAAACCACCCATTTTCCAGGGTTTTGGCCCATTCTTTGAAGATAATGATGCCTGAAGAGAATGGGGAGGGTACTGCTAGAAAAACTGACGAGGGTCGGCTGATAACGCCCTGAACTTATGGTTACATGGGACGTTTCAGCCGGAGAAATGATTGAACACCAACCGACCATGGCTGTGGGTAACTTGATCCATTTTTCGGTCACGAGTCAACGGTTTGCCAGGGCCGCCCTTTCCAAAACGCTTGGATCCCACCTCTCCTTTCCCGTACCCATCTCACGATTTTGGTTGTGAGCCGCACGCCGCACCTCACAATTTTTTCGTGAGCCACTGAGACCCGCCCACCAACTCGCACCAAAAAAATCTGCCCCCCCCCCCCCCCTGTCCCCCCCATTCCACCCTCTCCCGCGCCCCTCGCGCTGCGCACAAGTGCGCGAAAAAGCTGGCGCTTGTGCGTGGCGAGAGAGGACGGGCTGAAGCTCGGAGGCCTAGGCTTCCAGAGCTTCAGCTCACGCAGCGCCCAGCAGCTGCTGCAGGACATCCTCGATGGCCCGGCCACCCGGCCATGCCGGAGGGCTTCGTGGAGCCGCGGCGAAGGGCAGAGGAAGAATTTCCCAAATCCAAGAAACCGACACTGAGAACCACGAAGTTCTGCAAAGCGGCACGGCACTATAGGCTCTGAATCCCACTGAGTTTACCGGTCCTGCCGTCGTTGTGCCTTGGGTTTGGAGGGTGCCATCTATTTTTGACCGAACGAACCGATCAAAAGGACGCCCTGGTCACTTGCAACATGGCATGGGGTGTAAGCCTTTAGCTGTGGATCGTATGGCAAGGGCTCAAAGCATGTGAAGGTTCAAACTCCATCGAACGCAGCCAGTCTAGTCGCCTCCAACCTGGGAGTCTTCGAGGACATTGGCATGTACACAAGTTCTGTGCGATATGGTATCATTCCGCGTTGACTTTTGGTGTTTCGTCGGAAAGCAAACCAGAGCTCAACCATACTCCTCGGATGTCCCATCATGAGTCGACTTGGCCAAACTTGGGGCAGCTTGTCTGAACAAAACTGCGGGGTTCTCGTTTCTTTGGCGGATTCAGTGTACGCGGCCCCTTGTTCGGGCTGAGCGTTATTAATTGGTCTCGCTTTTGCCAACGTTGTGGCTATTCTTGGGTGCGCCACTTGTGGACCCATAAACAAGAGTTACAAGTTACAACGGAATGAAACAGAGGGAAAACAAGTATGCCCTCACCGTTCGGGCATGCCACATGTAGACTGCTGTGCCATTCGCCAGGCTATTTCCCCTACGAATTGAAGAAGGACTACCCCGATGGTGTCATGTTGAAGGCCGGAGCGTTTTGCCGATGCAGAACACATGGCTGTGGGTCAAAGCCAATGGGATACCATTTTGGGGTCTGTGCACCACCCATTTTCGTCGGGATTTTAGTGGGGATTGGGATGTTCGGGGTAACCGGGATTTTGACCCATGGCCAAATAAGCAGCATTTGTGTTCAGGGATGTCTCTCTGCGGCTCGCCCAGGTGGTGGACAGAACCATGCTCACCTTCAGCGCTTGGAAGGAGCCCCACGGATAGGTTCCTTCGGAAGTTTGTTTTTTCTTTTTCCCGAGCAAACGGGTACCCGGGAAAACTGAATGCTCAGGGTGTTGTTCTCTCCCTGAACAAAAACATGTCGGACCCAGATCAGTAAAACAACACGAGGGCAGAAAGAGTTGGGTTTGAGCGGGTCACTAGGCTGCGCGTGGACAAGAAGCTCCGTCTTCAGAACTCGACAGCCGCCAAAATTACCTAGCAGCTGGGGAGGGTAAACATAGTCCAATACCCCAGGCACGCCTCAAACAGCAAAGCCGTCTCATTTTCTTCTGTGCAAAGCTGCTGGCGTTCATTGACTTGTGTCTTATGAGTCAGCACCTGAGGCCATTCAGACATTTCCTACAGCTTGGTTTGGCCTTAAGGATATCTCACTTTGCAATGGTTGTAGCATGTAGCACGTTTCCCCGCCGGGGGGCTGGTTCTCAGCCGGGTTCTCAGCCGGAAAGCCGAAAGAGCACTCCCCCGCTGGACAGGATGTACACATCTCTGGGTGCCAAGATTTGGGCGTGTCGTTTTTTTTGGAGACCCTCCCCAAAATGGTGGTGTTCCTGTTGATTTCCCTTTATCACCAACCAAAAAAGAGTACCCTCAAGAAAAAACCATCCCAGTCTCTCTTCAGCCCTTTGGATTGAGAGCAACCACGCTTTTGGCGCGAAGACGGTTGTGACTGGCGAGCGTTGCCATGAGAATTTGCCGTTCATAGGCTTTTCACAGGTACAATGTTTGTGTCAAGTGCCCAATAGATTCATTACAAGATAGGGCAAGAAGAGCGTAAACCGGAAATGGGACAATGCACGCAAGCGTGCCCTGAATCTTCTTGCAACGGCAGTGGTTGCTTGATGCGCCGCCGAACTCGCAATTAGCCTGGTGTTTCATATCTACCAAAGGGTCTCACTCAGAACAGTTGTATAAGAGTTTTTCAATCATGGCCCCCACATTCAAGCATCAAAACCACAAGATGGTTAGAAGAACTTGGGCATACACCCGCAAGGGCAAATGGGGTAGATAACCTTCATAACGCGGCTACAAAGTGGTTACTCACAGCATTCTCCATTCCGGCAGTGGCGGAAACAGTCTGCGAATCACGCCTTTTTGGCACATTGCGTACAACTTCCTGGTGCCAGGAGCAAGCAGCATCAGACCCTGCCGAGCACTCAGGGGGTTTGGGGGCTACGGCACCGCCGGGTGGCTTTGCAGAGAACCAGTCAGACCCGGTCGGGCAGCGCTGGGCCCCGATCAGGGCTCCACAACTTCCAGACATGGCGGAATCCCTCTGCGAGCACACCAAAAAGAAAAAACACCGCACGCTGTTGGGGATATCACCTGAGCTTGTTTTGCTTGATGTCTTCATTTTGACAGGCATCGCTTGAGGCCATCGCGGCTCCGATAGCCCGGGCCCGCATCGACGCGATGCGCCCAGGAGTTGCACAGCAGCGGAGATCGCCTGGCGATTGGCGGTGGCAAGGCTGCTGAAAGTGTAGCTTTCCTAGGTCCCCCAGCTAGGTCCCCTTTCTCACCCCCTTTTTGGTTGGGAGGGTTCCCCTACTAAAATAGACTACTGGAGAGACTTGGTACCCTTATTCTAACCTCCAAAACTGGAGGACCCATTTTTGTTTTTTCTCCCCCGATTGGTTTTAAAGGGAACCTATGACTACTGCAAATGTCATTATTGTTTCCAGGAGGCTTAAGCAAATGGACGGGGACCGGGGTGAGGATTCCAGTTGTGATCTAAGATGCTGGGTCAACCTTTGGAAACATATTATATTTTCACATCCTATATCTTTGCCCTTTACTAGAACGGTACTTGTACTGGCTTCCAATTCTTCGTACAAGATGGCGTTCTTTGAAAGTGAAGACTACTCGCAAGCCAGGCATGTAACCGTGATCCTCAGCATGGCCCCCTGTATTTGAGACAATTGACTGGAGCCTACCTACATTACTGTGCTTATTCTTCCACTGTTACGATGCGAACTCTGTTGAACTCACTCTGATCATACCAGGGGTCAAAAGGCAAGGGCGTGACAGATATCTCCGAACACCATCTCGTGGTTTGTCCCTTTGGTTCTGCATTGAGGGGGTCAAGTCAGCTTCCCGAAGGCTCGGAACCACGCCGGACAGATTCTCGCGTACGTTCTTGAAGCGTCCGCATGTTCAGAGCAGTGCTTCACCGACCATGTAATCTGGAGCATGGTTGTGCAGATATTTTCATGTGTGTTGCTTTCGCAACCCTTTTGTACTGCTCCCAACCCAACGAAACACACCTTTTGAAGCCGGGTGAGGTGGGGTGCTTGGTTTCAGGGACAAGAGTCACTTGGTTCGCTCACCATCTTGTGTGGCACGATGTAATTCCAAGATCAACACTCAATGGTATGGTTTGCACCTCTGACATGAGCATCTGAGAACATTCTTGGTAGTTTGGGAAGGACATGGGGGGACATCCCAAAGCAAGGGGAACAAACGCCCTTGCGAACAAACATCATTCGCTCACATGCTACGGCGCAGGTGTTGAATGCCAATGGCGGTGCTCTTCCAGACAAGGCAGGTTCTATTGGCTCGTTAAAATGCAGGGCTCCTTAAAAGATACATTTTGCCCATTTGAAACATGGCTTTTTCGACCAAAATAAAGGGACACCACCCCCATTTACAACCTGGCACCCCGTATGGCCGTTTTTGTTCGGTCAAACTCCCGCATTTGGCCGTATTTGCCCGTATGGCCATGATTTTTCGGTCATTTGCGTAAATCACCCGTATGAAACCCATATTTTTTTCGACATGTTGTTGAAAACAAAGCCGTGAAACACTGTATTATGGCCATTTTTTTCGGTCAAAGGCGTATGACCAAAAAAAAACGGCCATATGGGGTCCCAGCAAGTTGCAATGTTCAGGTGTATAATGCATCCGGATCTTCCTGAAATGCTTTGTGCATTTTTTGCTTGCCCAAGTTGCATTGCATGTGAATGTTCGGAGTGTGGTGGTTTGCCTGAGACAAAAGCGGATCGGGATCTCAGCTCCCCCCTCTCCGCCCTCGCTAAGCCGCTAAGCCATGGCCGTCTTCATGATGAGCGGCGAGGAGGTTGCGGATGATGAATCTCGGGACTACCGAATCCGCTTGGTTGATACATTTAGGGGAGATCCTGAAACGTTGAGAGGAAGTCCCGATGACCAATTTAAACAATCTTGTGTGGCGAAATACGGTGAACGTCGTTTGGGGCCTCAGGCACAAGGACGCTTAGGCCCTTCGGTATGGCCAAGAGGAAATCCCTTGGAGACCCCTGAGGTGATGAGCGAGGAGCAGTTGGCCCATTGGTGTTCGGAGTCCGAATCAGCGGCGGGGTTTCCCCCGACCTCGGATGAGCTTAGGCGGGAGGTGGCCAGGCGGCGGAACATTGTGAATTTCCGGCGCCTGCAGTTGGTTTGCGACGGCGTCGTTGTGGGACCTGACAGCTCCATGGACGAATCTTTCAAGGGCGACTTCTTTGTTCTTTTGCGCCCGTACGCGGATGTGGATTGGTATGCGCGTTTGCGTTTGTTTGGAGCCAACAATCATTTTGCTGAAGTTGTGCACCTCTTGGAGCAGCCCCTGAATCCAGATGCTGTTGATACCGAACCATGGCGCACGCTTTTGCATTTTGCTGCTGCGCATGGCAATCATGAAGCAGTGCGATGCTTGCTGGAAGTTGGTGCCAACAAGGACCCGGCTGACAGGCATTGGTGTACACCTCTGCATTTTGCAGCCCTCAATGGCGGTCACAAAGTGGTGCAAAGCTTGCTGGAAGCTGGTGCCGACAAGGACCTGGCTGACGTGCATTGGAGAACACCTCTGCATCATGCTGCTGAGAATGGCCATCATGAAGTGGTGCGAAGCTTGCTGGAAGCTGGTGCCGACAAGGACCTGGCTGACGAGGATTGGTGTACACCTTTGCATGTTGCTGCTGGGTATGGCCACGCGGAAGTGGTGCAAATCTTGCTGGAAGCTGGTGCCGACAAGGACCTGGCTGACGTGTATTGGTACACACCTCTGCATTATGCTGCTAATAGTGGCCGCGCGGAAGTGGTGCAATTCTTGCTGGAAGCTGGTGCCGACAAGGACCTGGCTGACGTGGGTTGGTGGACACCTCTGCATTATGCTGCTGAGAATGGCCATCATGAAGTGGTGCGAAGCTTGCTGGAAGCTGGTGCCGACAAGGACCTGGCTGACGAGGATTGGTGTACACCTTTGCATGTTGCTGCTGGGTATGGCCACGCGGAAGTGGTGCAAATCTTGCTGGAAGCTGGTGCCGACAAGGACCTGGCTGACGTGTATTGGTACATACCTCTGCATTATGCTGCTAATAGTGGCCGCGCGGAAGTGGTGCAATTCTTGCTGGAAGCTGGTGCCGACAAGGACCTGGCTGACGAGGATTGGTGAACACCTTTGCATGTTGCTGCTGGGTATGGCCACACGGAAGTGGTGCAAATCTTGCTGGAAGCTGGTGCCGACAAGGACCTGGCTGACGTGTATTGGTACACACCTTTGCATTATGCTGCTAATAGTCGCGCGGAAGTGGTGCAATTCTTGCTGGAAGCTGGTGCCGACAAGGACCTGGCTGACGAGGATTGGTGTACACCTTTGCATGTTGCTGCTGGGTATGTCCACGCGGAAGTGGTGCAAATCTTGCTGGAAGCTGGTGCCGACAAGGACCTGGCTGACGTGTATTGGTACACACCTCTGCATTATGCTGCTAATAGTGGCCGCGCGGAAGTGGTGCAATTCTTGCTGGAAGCTGGTGCCGACAAGGACCTGGCTGACGTGGGTTGGTGGACACCTCTGCATTATGCTGCTGAGAATGGCCATCATGAAGTGGTGCGAAGCTTGCTGGAAGCTGGTGCCGACAAGGACCTGGCTGACGAGGATTGGTGTACACCTTTGCATGTTGCTGCTGGGTATGGCCACGCGGAAGTGGTGCAAATCTTGCTGGAAGCTGGTGCCGACAAGGACCTGGCTGACGTGTATTGGTACACACCTCTGCATTATGCTGCTAATAGTGGCCGCGCGGAAGTGGTGCAAATCTTGCTGGAAGCTGGTGCCGACAAGGACCTGGCTGACGTGGATTGGTGGACACCTTGCATTATGCTGCTGGAATGGCCATGAAGTGGTGCGAAGCTTGCTGGAAGCTGGTGCCGACAAGGACCTGGCTGACGAGGATTGGTGTACACCTTTGCATGTTGCTGCTGGGTATGGCCACGCGGAAGTGGTGCAAATCTTGCTGGAAGCTGGTGCCGACAAGGACCTGGCTGACGTGTATTGGTACACACCTCTGCATTATGCTGCTAATAGTGGCCGCGCGGAAGTGGTGCAATTCTTGCTGGAAGCTGGTGCCGACAAGGACCTGGCTGACGAGGGTTGGTGGACACCTCTGCATTATGCTGCTCAGAATGCCTATCATGAAGTGGTGCGAAGCTTGCTGGAAGCCGGCGCTAACAAAGACCCGGCTGACGTGTATTGGTACACACCTCTGCATTATGCTGCTAATAGTGGCCGCGCGGAAGTGGTGCAAATCTTGCTGGAAGCTGGTGCCGACAAGGACCTGGCTGACATGTATTGGTACACACCTTTGCATTATGCTGCTAATAGTGGCCGCGCGGAAGTGGTGCAAATCTTGCTGGAAGCTGGTGCCGACAAGGACCTGGCTGACGTGTATTGGTACACACCTCTGCATTATGCTGCTAATAGTGGCCGCGCGGAAGTGGTGCAATTCTTGCTGGAAGCTGGTGCCGACAAGGACCTGGCTGACGAGGGTTGGTGGACACCTCTGCATTATGCTGCTGAGAATGGCTATCATGAAGTGGTGCGAAGCTTGCTGGAAGCCGGCGCTAACAAAGACCCGGCTGACGTGTATTGGTACACACCTCTGCATTATGCTGCTAATAGTGGCCGCGCGGAAGTGGTGCAATTCTTGCTGGAAGCTGGTGCCGACAAGGACCTGGCTGACGAGGATTGGTGTACACCTTTGCATGTTGCTGCTAAGAAGGGCCGCGCGGAAGTGGTGCAATTCTTGCTGGAAGCTGGTGCCGACAAGGACCTGGCTGACGTGGATTGGTACACACCTCTGCATTATGCTGCTAAGAAGGGCCACGCGGAAGTGGTGCGAAGCTTGCTGGAAGCCGGCGCTAACAAAGACCCGGCTGACGTGAATTGGAGAACACCTATGCATGTTGCTGCTGAGAATGGCCATCATGAAGTGGAGGGAACCTTGCTGGAAGCTGATACCAACAAGGAGGACCCGGCTGACGTGATTTGAAATTTGGGGAACACCTAAGCATTCTGCAGCTAGGAATGGCCATGGTTAACCAGCATGCTTCTGGCGTGAATTGGCGCAGGTCTTTGGATTTAGCTGCACGTAGTGAAGTGCTGCGACCATTGCTTGAAGCTGGTGCTGACAAGAACGCGGCTGGCATGAGCGCGGCTTCATGTCTTTACATTGTGGTATGAAACGATACTTGCCAGAAGCTGGTTTTTCTGAAAACATCAGGTGGTTTTCCAAAGTGAAGATGGCACATCCAACTGCAATTTCCTCGGTGGGTTGCGGTACAGTACTTATTATCTTTGAATCCCCCTACCCCCTGCTCCAAATACCCACGTTGTTTTAAGCATTTTTTGCTGGGTTTCCATGATACATACCTCCTTTTTTAGTAGATGGTCGACATCAATACCAAAAAAAGGCCGGGTATGTTAGGGGTACTGCTTGGTAGATCCACCATAATTACGAAGTCCGCACCCGTCGGCATGCGCACGTTGCGTGTGACTCGGCCAGCGCAGCAGAAAGCAGCTGGAGGAAGAAGCAGAAAGCATTTGCTGACGCAGCCATTCCACTTCCCATCTTAAAACTCTCCCACCAATTAACATGGCACGTGACAGGAGGGGTTCGGAAGACCATGTTAGCTGTTGCGAGAGTATCTCTTATTTGGTATTCTGTTTGCTGCTTTTATCATATTCATCTTTCCATTCAGCAACGAGTTGTCGCCAAATGGGCGACTCCATAGATGCACGATGCCTTGGTTCAGTGTAAAACTAGACAGTACTAAACAACAGACCTTGGCGAAATGGTCGCAAGGAAATGTGCAAACGCCATGAATGCATACCCCCTGCTCCAAATACCCAAGTTGTTTTTATTGTTTAAGCATTTTTAGAAAAAAACCTGGGTTTCCATGGTAAATACCGGAAGTGGATTGGACTGCTTGCTTGCAATTGCTTCGGTAGGAGTGGATTGGACTGCTTGCTCGGAAGTGCTTTGGTAGGAGTGGATTGGACTGCTTGCTTGGAAGTACTTGGGTGGAAGTGGATTGGGCTGTTTGTTTGGAAGTGCTTGGGTGGAAGTGGATTGGACTGTTTGCTGGGAAGTGCTCGGTTGGAAGTGGATTGGACTGTTTGCTTGGAAGTGCTTCGGTAGGAGTGGATTGGACTGCTGGGTTGGGAGTGCTTGTTTGGAAGTGGATTGGACTGCTTGCTTGGAAGAGCTTCAGTAGGAGTGGATTGGACTGCTTGCTTGGAAGTGCTTCGGTAGGAGTGGATTGGACTGCTTGCTTGGAAGTGCTTTGGTAGGAGTGGATTGGACTGCTTGCTTGGAAGTACTTGGGTGGAAGTGGATTGGACTGTTTGTTTGGAAGTGCTTGGGTGGAAGTGGATTGGACTGTCTGCTGGGAAGTGCTTGGTTGGAAGTGGATTGGACTGTTTGCTTGGAAGTGCTTCGGTAGGAGTGGATTGGACTGCTGGGTTGGGAGTGCTTGTTTGGAAGTGGATTGGACTGCTTGCTTGGAAGTGCTTGAGTAGGAGTGGATTGGACTGCTTGCTTGGAAGTTCTTGGGTGGAAGTGGATTGGACTGCTTGCTTGGAAGTGCTTCAGTAGGAGTGGATTGAACTGCTGGGTTGGAAGTGCTTGGGTGGAAGTGGATTAGACTGCTTGCTTGGAAGTGCTTCAGTAGGAGTGGATTGGACTGCTGGGTTGGAAGTGCTTGGGTGGAAGTGGATTGTACTTTTGTAGTAGAGGGTGGACGTCATACCCAAAAAGAAGAGGGTATTGGGTGTAAGGGGTAGTAATCCACACTGGAGCGGCCAGTGAGTCCAGGAGCGCGAAAGGGGTCCAGTTTCCCGAGAAGGCTAGGGAACCACTCATTGTGGCCCCCTCTACTAAAAAAGGGATCGGTATTTACCATGGAAACCCAGGTTTTTCCACAAAAAAATGCCCTCGCAAAAAGGCCGGGTCTTTGGAGGTTCCGGGGGTGGTACTCTTTGAGGCTTCTCTCTTGGCTGGCTGTCCGAGTGTTTCGAAACGAAACGGAGCCCAGCACATCTAAAGCCGTCGGCTGCCTCTGTTCGGCCTCAGAAATTCGGCCATCCAGATGGCCAAGTGTTCAGGGAAACCTGGCAGGGATACAGGGATACGGGAATCCGGATTCCCCCCAAATTCACCTTGACAAAGTTTGATCTGGGAAATGGCGCCAAGTTGTCAGCCCATCTAGTTTCAGAGGTGACTCGTGTGAATATGGTTTGGAAGCTCCAGCGCATGCGCCTCGGGTTTCTGACAAACTTGCGGCGACTTCCGCAGGCTCTTGCGAATTGGCTCGGAGTTGCATTTGGTCATGTTGCGTTGTACCTCCGGGGAGTTTGATTTTTCCAGTTCCCACTGTGCAAAGGGAAGTATTACGTTTGTTGGACCAAGATTGAGCAACCAACCGCAAGTTCCAAGCAATTTCCCAGCTCGCGTGCAAATCGATGAAAGCATCGGAAACAATCCTTTGACTAGCCCCGAGCCTGATCTGAAGCACACATGAAACCAATACAGTACCCTTCATGTTGCCCCGCGAATACAACTCTCTTTCCGCCTTGCGAAGGTCAACAAGATTAATTTTGCAAGGGTTTAACGAAGTAAGCCCTTTTGACCGCTCCGTTTGTTCAGGTCTAGACTCCCAGCGGTTTTCAGTGAATTTAGAAGGGGAACCCGAATGATTGGAGGGCTGTTGCGAATTGCCGAGTGCGTGGTTCTGTTAGTGTACTTTTTGTTCCGGCTTTCTTATAACTCTTGCAACTGCCCTCAATTGTCTCACTCATGTGCAGCTAGTGGTCAAGGTTCAGTTGGGTGCAAATTACTTCTTCTGGAAGTATTTATATATATATATATATGTATATTTGTATATTATGCACCCCCACCGATGGATCTACCTGTTTGCTGTTTGAAGGCTATTTTGGAGATGAAATGCAGTGTTTTATTTGGAATGCCCCATGCGACTTGACCAGCATCAGCTCACCCCAAGCAAGGAAATCCTCTACCCGAAAGCAAAAGAGTTCAAAGACGTAAAAGTACAATTCTGGAGCCAAAAGTACAAAGCAGAAAAGTAAGAACAAGTAACAAGTAAACAAGTAAGAAAGTAACAAAAAGAAAAAAAGAAAGACAACACGGAAAGTAAAACAAATCAGCCCATGGTCCTGAAGTAATATGTTTTGACCATGGACTGAAATGTGTTGCTTGTTGTTTTGTTCTTACTTTTTACTTTTTTACTTGTTTCACTTCTCTACTTCTTTACTTTTCACTTTTTACTTGTGGGTCATTAGCTCCAGATATTTTGCACTTTTCTTTTTTACTTTTAGGTCTCTGGCTCCATATTTTTACTTCTTTTTGTTTTAACTTGTGGGCCAATGGCTCCAACATAGCTGTTGTTTTGCCTCTTCTGACCAAACCTCGGCTTATATAGAAATAGGACAGAGGTAGATCCAAACCAACTAGATTCAAGATTCCCGGGAACAGTTTGGCCAAAGCTTGTAGATTGTCTTTGGACATGCGCCTTCTTTTGCTGCTTTCCCCAAAGGCCCGAAAAGGCAGAGCACACTGCACATACCTGTGAATTCTGAAGGAAGGTAGATCCATGGGAAGGGTACCATATATATATATATACACTTGCTTGCCTGCCAGCCTGCTTGCCTGCTTGTTGGTCGGCTGGCTGGCTGGCTGGCTGGCTGGCTGGCTGGCTGGCTGGCTGGCTGGCTGGCTGGCTGGCTGGCTGGCTGGCTGGCTGGCTGGCTGGCTGGCTGGCTGGCTGGCTGGCTGGCTGGCTGGCTGGCTGGCTGGCTGGCTGGCTGGCTGGCTGGCTGGCTGGCTGGCTGGCTGGCTGGCTGGCTGGCTGGCTGGCGTTTGCATGCTTTCGCGCTGATTCAAGGGCTTTGCTGGCACGATAAAAGGGAAAGAAAAAGAGTGAGAGCGAGAGAGAAAAGGCAACAACATGAAAAAGAGAGAGAGAGAAAGAGAGAAAACACTCAATACGAAAATAAGGAAAGAGAGTGAACGAGAAAGAGACACAGAAACAGAAAGAGCGAGAGAGAGAGAGAGAGAGCGAGAGAGAAATACCAAGAGAAAGATAATGAAAGCAAAAGACGAAGATAAAGAGAAAGAGAGCGAGATTGAACGACGAAGATGAAGAGAACGAGAAAGAGATAGAAAGAGAGGCAGAGAGACAGACAGAAAAAAACAGGGAGAAAGGGAGACGGGGAGAAAGGGAGAAAGAGAGAAAAAGAGAGAAAGCGAGATAGAGAGAAAGAGAGAGAGAGAGAAACAGAATGAGAGAAGAGAAACCGAGACAGAAACAAAGAGGAGGAGCTAGGGAAAGAGAAACCATGAGAATGAAGGAGAAAAAGACGTGTGCTCGACACTGTATAGTCTGTTTGAAAATGCGGCCCGGCTCAGTACAAAGTTTAGAGACTCGCAGGTGCTCAGGCACGGCGACATTTGCGAGGCGGGAAGGGGCTGCGCAGCGCGCAAGGCGAGCAAGCCGTTTGTAAGGTGTGACTTCGAGCGCACAAGCGTGAAGTTGTTCAATGTTTTTGTTTTCTTTTGCTGGACTTCAAGGCAGAGGTTTTTGAGGTGGCTTTTTTGGGGTGGGTTTTTTTGGGGTGTTTTTTTTTGCAGAGGTTGTTCGCATCGCAACAACACATAAAATGCTTCAACGGGCGTTGCTTTTCGATTCGAGAATTCGGGGCTCGCGCGCATCTGGCTTGGCAATCCAGCGGTGATGAGAAAGGGAAAAACGGCCAGCCCAAGATTGTTCTAAGGGTATCTTCCCCATTTCTAAGGATTCTAAGTTGGTATCTTCCCCATTTCCAGTCCGAATCTTTCTAGAAAACCGACGAAGAAAACGGATCCGATTTTGGAAAGACCGATGGGTGAAAAGAATGGTTGGAATGAGCTGCTAGAATTGTGCTTTTTCATTGCAATCGGACTCAATGTGATGAGGCATGGTGCAGATGTCCTGCCCGACAGTTCTCCGCACATAATGAACTGTTGCACATCTTGCAGTCATTGTACGTAAATCGTTGCGTGACAGTCTTGCAAGTTTCCATGCGCCTTCTGCTGCTGACGTCCGGTGCATGCAGCAGGGCAGGAAGCAGGGG